GACTGGCATGTTCGACGCGCTGCCAATCGTGGTGCAAATAAATCCCGAGACGCCGCCAGCCATGTTCACGCTTCCCGATCAGTGCTTTCTTGAGGTACCCATTCGCCACCCGACGATTCGTGGCATTTCTCAGCTCGGTTTGAAGTGGTACGGTATACCGGCGGTGTCGAACATAACCATGGATCTCGGAGGTTTGCACTACACGGCTGCACCATTTAACGGATGGTACATGGTGACGGAGATTGCGACGCGGAACTTTGGCGATGAGTCGCGGTACAATCTTCTACCGCAAATCGCCGAGGCCATGGGCCTAGATACATCGACGCACGACACGCTATGGCGCGATCACGCTCTGGCTGCGATCAACTACGCCGTGTTCGATTCATTTAAGGGCGCGTTGACAAAATCATGTATGCAGCGTCAAGTTAGAAATGCGATGGCAATCCAACGCGTCATCGAGATTTGCACGCTGTAAAACTATGCGAGGCATTCAAAATGGGTCTGTTGTCGTCCCTTTCTGGCGTTTTCGTCACGACGTAGTGGCTGCGTCGTCCGTTTCGCTTGAAGCCATGTAACTTTGAAGCATCAGGTTTTTCACGAATTTTCGCAAGGTGGAAACACCCGGGAGTCGGTATGACGCAATGGCATGATAACGCTAAAATTCTCAATGTATGAAATATTTGGCGGTTCGTGACTCGTCATGCGTGTAGGGACTCTCCCAAGCCGTGAGATAAATTTTTCCAATTTATCCCCGCCGCCGGGACCCGGCTTCGCCCTTTGGTTGACGGCAGCTGTCCGCGCTGGAAGTTCAGAGACTGTCCGAGCTTATCAAGACCAGGATATCTTTAACATGCCATACACTGATCATGATGTAGGGGTCCAGGCTAGACGCATGGACCACTTGAGACGGACAGAAAAGCAGTCTGTTGACGATATTTCCCGGGTAGTATCTATCAAAAAACTGTTTCACTGCCACGTAGATTCATTTAATCATTTCGTCAACTCAGGATTAAGTGATATTGTGCGTGGTGTGGAGAGTCAACATATTTCAGTAGGACCTGGATCGCGACAGGTCGATATATGGTTGGAAGACTTGAAGATTGAATCGCTGAGGAGCAAAGTGAGTGCTGTGGCAACGTCGTCTTCACAAACACCTAGATCGTGCCGTGAGGTGGGCGAAACGTACAAGACATCGATGTCAGTATCATATTGCTGGCGATTACAGGGTAACGATGCTATGCAACGACGCGTTGTGCAGCTTGGTCAGTGTCCTGTGATGGTACAGTCAAACGTGTGCTCACTTGCCCGGCTCTGCCCAGCAGAGTTGGTAGCGTTTGGTGAAGAAGCAAATGAGGCTGGAGGATATTTCATCATAAATGGCATTGAGCGAATGATTCGTATGATCATAATGCAAAGAAGGCATCATATTCTTGGACTTCGTAGACGAGCCTTCCTGAAACGTTCACCACTTTTCACCGAGTACGCGACTGTTATGCGATGCGTGAGCAACGATGAGCACTCTTCTACAATTCGCTTACATTATATGCGCAATGGTTCGTTAAAAGTTGCTTTCCAACATCGTAGAGAGGAATTCTTTATCCCAGCTGGCTTAGTCCTACGCTCACTTGTGGCCTGTTCAGATGCTGAGCTGCATGAACGAGCATGTATGGAACTACTAGGTACTAGCAGTCATGAGGAGACTTTCGTGAAGGAACGCCTTGCCATTATTCAGGAAGAATGTCAATCGCTTTATATATTTACACAAATTAGTGCGCTATCGTACTTGGGACAGCATTTCCGCACTCTCCTAGAAGCTTCCGCAAGTGAAAGTGATGCTGCTGTCGGGGAACGCTTCTTGCGTGATACTATTTTTATTCATCTGTCTCGCAATGGAGACAAACTCTCGTTGTTACTGCTCATGATGAATAAATTACTCACGCTCGTTACCGGAGGCTGTGGACCGGACGATCCTGATTCACTCGTGAATCAAGAGGTTTTGCTTCCTGGCCTCCTTCTCCAGAAAATTGTTCGTGAAAAGATACAGATATCTTTCCAGAAGGTGCTCACTCAAATAAGGGGTTTGGACTGTCGAATCAACGAGGACATAGGTCGAGTCATTGATGAGACTGCGTCCTTAGATATTGGTAAAGCCCTTGAATATATCCTGGCAACTGGTAACCTAGTCAGTCCAACAGGCTTGGGCCTGAGCCAGGCAAGCGGTTTCACAATTGTTGCGGAGAAACTGAACTACTTCAGATATCTGTCTCATTTTCGCTCGGTTCACAGGGGAGCATATTTTATGGAACTACGAACGACGGCGGTTCGGAAGCTACTACCTGAATCATGGGGCTTCTTGTGTCCAGTTCATACTCCAGACGGCTCACCCTGCGGTCTGTTGAACCATCTCACAGAAATGTGCGAGGTCGTCGTACCCGATAAAGATCCGCTAGTCCGTTCAGAACGACTGGATCTTATCAAGTCAAAGCTAGCCTGGGCTTTGGTAGATGCAGAGCATAGAAGTAGATTCCATCATAGTGTGCCTGTCATCGTTGAAGGAGTTCACATGGGCTACATTTCAATTGCTGACGTTGAGCGAGCCGTGGCCGCTCTGAGAGAAGCGAAAACTGGATCCCAGCTCTCGCTTCAAATGACAGAAATTTGTCATATCCCCGTACACGGTGAGCATGGTTTGTTTCCGGGCCTGTATATTTTCTATGGTCCCTCAAGGCTAATGAGGCCGGTGCAGCAAGTGCATACTGGCAAAATTGAACTCGTTGGGACGTTGGAACAATCTTTTCTATCAATTTGCTCGCTCAGAAAAGAAATGAATGATATCTTCACGCATTCAGAACTGAAGATGACTTCTGCATTGAGTTGTATTGCAAGCCTGACTCCATGGTCAGACTTCAATCAGAGTCCTCGCAACATGTATCAGTGTCAGATGGCTAAACAAACCATGGGGACGCCCATGCATAGTATTTGCTTTCGGAGTGACACTAAGCTTTATCGATTGCACACTCCACAGCGCCCAGTAGCGCTTACTTATACGTACGACAAGTACGCTCTGGACAATTATGCACTTGGTACAAACGCTGTTGTTGCAGTCCTGGCATATACAGGGTATGATATGGAAGATGCTATGATATTGAACAAGGGCTCACTTACTCGCGGCTTTGCACACGCAACGCTGTATAAAACTATCGTCGAGACTGCCTCAAAGCACGAGTTAATCGGTATGAACGCTTCGCAATCACGCACCAATGAGCACATCGACAGTTTCGGTACAGTCGATGTCGGTTCCGTTGCGTCACCCGGATCCACAGTGCTGAGGGTGAATAATGGCGAAGGGTTGACGAAATCTCGACAAATACGTATAAAGGGCACAGATCCGGCCGTTGTCGATCGTGTTGTGTTGACTTCTACAACTCAAAAGGGAAATCAGAATGTTAAACGTGCAGCAATAACTTTTCGGTATGATCGGAATCCAGTCATAGGTGATAAGTTCAGCAGTCGGCACGGGCAGAAAGGTGTCCTTAGTTTCCTATGGCCCGAGGAAGACATGCCTTTTTGCGAACGGACAGGTGTTCGCCCCGATGTCATCATTAATCCACATGCCTTTCCCTCCCGCATGACAATTGGCATGCTAGTTGAAAGTTTGGCTTCGAAAGCTGGAGCCATGGCTGCCGTATTCGCTGATGCAACACCGTTTAAACGGGATAAAAAGTACTCTTCTCCAGCAGAGCGGTATGGTAGCTTGTTACGAGAGCATGGTTATAACTTTTGTGGTAACGAGTCTATGATCAACGGTTACACTGGGGAGAGCTTCAGCGTTGATATTTTCATTGGCATTGTGTACTATCAACGTCTTCGTCACATGGTGAGTTTTGACATGATCTTTTTCTTTCGATTCGACTAAGCCTTCAATTAGGTGAGTGATAAGTTCCAAGTGCGCTCCACTGGACCAAATAATCCGCTTACAAAGCAGCCCATCAAAGGAAGAAAATCTGGTGGTGGGATTCGATTTGGGGAAATGGAGCGCGACTCACTTCTCGCTCATGGCGCTGCATACTTGGTGCGTTTACATAAGTTTGAAATTCTGACAGAATCTAACTTTCTTGTTCTAGCTGCGTGATCGACTGAATATGTGTTCAGACAATCAAGATACTTGGGTGTGCAAGGTGTGCGGTAGTTTACTCGCCCCACTTACCATGTGTATGGCAACAAGTTGCGGTGAAAAGTATGCATCGCAAAGAACGAGATGCAGAGTTTGCGAGTCTAATACCTCTGTTGAGATAGTTTCTGTTCCGCACGTTTTCATCTATCTTGCAACTGAGCTCGCCGCAATGAACATATCGATACAACTGAAAGCCCGTTGATTACTCTATCAGTAGAACTCTCTGTTTTAGGTTCACGCGATAGAAGTGCGAAACGAATCGAGAGCAATTCACTCAATTATCAACTCTCACGGCAAAAGAGTGCAGCAGAGCAAGGTTGCGATCCTTACTTTTGCGCCACTGTAAAGAATTGCAAGTCACCAAACATATGTACACTCGTTTGTTCCGAGCAGTTGCTGATACCAAACTGTGATCTGCAAGTTCGTAATTATAGTAAGTTATCCCGTTCATATCGAACTCCGAGCTACTAACGATCTCATCCTCTTGAACTGGTCTACCTACGAGCTCAGGGGCGAACCCTTTGATGAAATTTTCCAATGAAACGAGTTCTTTCAAGTCTATGACGTCTGTTTCTACCTAAAATCAACATACGGTGAACTTAGACGACGTTGGTTAATAGCAAAATACCTTATTTGAAAAACGTGCGATGGGTGCGAGAATTATTTTCAGTACGCCGTCACTTTCACTGACGAACTTGGCGTCTATTTCAGTTCCTGCTGGATCTGCGATGCTCACCGGTGCCTCTCTCCACGATTCAATTGCTCGAAAGGAGTAGGGTGTAATTTCACTCCAACCTACACCATGCCCTCCACTTTTTTCCTCTGGCCTTGAATAAACTCGAAAGCCTTCGTCATCCACTTTTGAAAATCCAGGGACTCGTCCAGCTGTCATGCCCTGCAAGGGGTGAGAACGTATGAGTTCAAACTGTTAAATGAAGATACCATGATAGCTTTCGCTGGAGCTACTCCCATGTACACGAGAGAAGAAGCTGATGATATACCTAAGAGCCTACGCGACACGTTCTCGCCTTGGGCTTGTTGCATTTTAGCTTGTGTTTTTATAGAGTCTCCGTCGGAATTACTCGCCACACGTGGAGTCCGCTGGAGTTGGCGTCTCACGGCGGTTCGAGGTAGTTTGCGAATGTGGAACGCCTCTGATAATGTTGTTGGCATGTTGATTGTACCGTTTATCTCGCTATATATTGGAATCACCCGCAAAGGAGAGTAGCAGCCAGCGGTCTAAGGGATCCGTACACCTGTGGAGGGAGTCTTCGTTTGAAAGTTCCACAATTGTCTCGAAATATTAACACTAGGCCGAGGAGGAGATTTGGGGTGAGCGACGAATTATTGTGTAAGTGCAATTCGGTGTAATTACACTGTTATCACCATCCATTGGTAGTAGAGTGAAGAATGGGATCGCGCTTGGCAGAGCGATGGAGTTATTAGAGCGAACGAACAAGACCAGTCCTCGTTGGGGCGATCAAGGCTACTTGACGTACAAGGAAGCGCTCGATAGACTTGGGTATGAAGGAATCAACGGGGAGGCCATACTGTCACGTAGAGTTCATGAAGCGCGGATGGTTGCAAGGATGAAAAGAAATTGATGTTGACGCAGGTGATCCTAAGTGCAATATCAGTACACATTGACGAGCAAGACGTTTCTGCGCAAAGATCGCCCGAATATGCCGATTTGAGCACGATGGGTGCGCATGAAAACGAAGCACTGCATCTCATGCGTAGAGGATTTGAAGATGCCAATGCGCGCGCGTCGGCTGCCACTGAACGGCCGAGAAGAGCGCCCGAGGGGACGCGAGTCCCAGAGGTGGAGATATGTATACGCTCATCATGATTGGAAACCGAATTTTGAACGATTTGCTCGATAGAGAAGCCCAAAAGGACTGCACCACAACTCTCAGCATGAATCAACTCAAAGACTTTTACGTCTATTTGGCACAAGATCGGTTCCTCCCGCAGCCGCGTCGATACGATCTGGAACGCGAAGTGGAATCGCTCGCGTGGAATCAGCATTCAGAAATATTTGGGAGCGACATTCCGTGGTCAGAAAGACCGCCCGTATCGGACGCCAGCATGACTGACGTCGTGACGGACGCCGACGCGATGCTCGACGACGCCGAAGAAGATTCAGTGCCACACGAAGGGGACCTGACCTGAGCATGCACGGCCGCTCATACGATTCGGATCCGCGGGCTGGGAGTCACGACGTCGACGTCCGTTCGTCCCCAAACTCGGCGTGTCACGAGTTCGCTAGCTTTCGCGTCGCCTCGTAAAAAATCGCGCGGATCGCGCGACGCGCGACGCCGTGACGCGTCGCGGCGACACGCTTAAAGGAATATCGGTCGCAGGTGTGTCACGCCAGATCGGTTCCGCCGTGACTAAAAGTGAGCGACGAATTAGGCCGACTAACAGTACATTTAATCGGCGCGCGCGTCGACAAATTAAATTTGTCAAATTTTGTATGCAACTCGTCTTACATGTCCGCGTGTACATACGTTGCTCACGCTTTTTGTTGTAATGTAAGCTAATAAAGATGTTCGAATACATGCAACGTGTACCTGAAAGGCAAATCTTTAACATCGTATGGTGACCACGCGCCAGCGCTTACTTGTACTGTTAGTCGGCCTAATTCGTCGCTCACTTTTAGTCACGGCGGAACCGATCTGGCTTGACACACCTGTGCACGTCGTAGCAGGCCGCGTGGATCACGCGATCAGCGGAACGCTCAAGACCGAGCTTGAGGATTGCATACGCCTTTAGTGAGTGACTGACTGTGTGATGTCGGTGCTCTCAACGTCTGTTTGCAGCCGTGTTTGCCGGACAGTGAGCAAAAATAACCTCATCTCGAAACGACTACTGTCCCGTAGTAACTCGTTCATCCATAACTCGGGACAGGTTACTAGATCGCAGCGTTTGAGAGTACAAGAGCGTTTGGGGGCATGCAATTCGTCCGCTTCCGACGAAGATCTTATAACTACACTGAAAGCACGGGGTCTTTTTGATAGTTGCACTGATGAAACCAGTTTAGCAGAGGCCCTTCAAAAGCCCCTAAAAGTGTACTGTGGCTTTGATCCAACCGCGGACTCTCTCCATCTGGGTAATTTACTTGGCATCGTGGTTCTATCATGGTTTCAGAGGAAGGGGCACCGTCCCATTATCTTAGTAGGGGGTGCAACCGGAAGAGTTGGTGACCCGTCTGGGAAATCGCAGGAGAGACCACTACTTGATGAGGCTACTTTGAGCACGAACGTCGCAGCGATAAGCAACTCGGTCTTGAGGATATTAACACGGGCCGCCAGTAATCCAGCGGTAGTGGTCTTGGATAACTATGACTGGTTTAGGAATATTACTTTGCTTGACTTCTTGCGGGATGTGGGCAAGTATGCGCGTCTAGGTAACATGCTTTCGAAAGACAGTGTCAAGTCCCGTCTCGATGGCGGTGTGGGCCTAAGCTTCACAGAATTTTCTTATCAGCTGCTGCAAGGGTATGACTTCATGCATCTCTTTAGGAATGAATGTGTGAGCGTGCAAATTGGAGGGAGTGACCAGTGGGGCAATATAACTGCTGGCACTGAGCTTGTTCGCAGGGTTCTTCGAGAGGAAGGTGCATACGGTTTGACATTTCCACTTCTCCTGAAATCAGATGGAACAAAATTTGGTAAATCTGCATCTGGTGCGATATGGCTGTCAAAAGAGAAGCTTTCACCATACCACTTCTACCAGTATTTGCTGAATACGGCTGATGGTGACGTTATCCGGCTTCTTCGCATGCTCACCTTTCTATCACTCGACGAGATAGCGAGTATTGAAGGCTCCATGGCTGAAGCGGGCTATATACCGAACACTGCGCAGCAGATATTGGCGGCAGAAGTGACGCGATTCGTTCACGGGCAGGATGGACTCGACGAGGCTATACGAGCAACAGAGAGTTTACGGCCAGGCACAGAAACAGTTCTTGATGCCGCAGCTCTCGAGTTGGCTTCTGATACGATTCCGTCCGTCGCCATAAGCAGGGTTGCTGTCGTTGATAATCTCGTGACAGATGTTGTAGTGGTCTCGGGACTCTTAGAAAGTAAAGGCGCTGCGAAAAGAATGCTTCGCAACGGAGGTATACGCGTTAACAACAACAAAGTCACAGATGAAACACGAACCATAGTAGAAGGAGACATCATCGGTGACAATATGCTCCTACTCGCAGCTGGGAAGAAGAATAAGCTTCTGATAAGACTAGATGAACGTGAATGAACTGCCCACGCATAGGTGGATTTAATCACGACTACAATCACGACTAAAAGTAAGTTCGGAAAACGGTAAAATATGTAACTTCTTCCCTTCGGCCGCACTTAGCGGCGCAACGTGTGCCCCATTCACTGCGAATCGCGAATATATCTTTCTAGACCACGGGAGCGTTCGAATGGCGTGCTGCTCGTCTCGTGTAGTTCGCTCGTCGAAGCGGTCATATCTGCGACTTTTCCGCTTCTTACGCACCGTTGTGACCACTTTACTTGTGATTTTCGCCATCGCATCTTGAAACACTTGGTTGATGATGTTTCGGTCGGCGTCAGCGAAGTTCACAGTGTTCACGTTCTCGAGCACTTGCTTCATCGTTTCGATGTTCAGCGGCGCTCTTGCGAACGACTCTGGACTACCATCGAAACTTATGTTGAACGCAAGATCATCCGCGACGTCCATGGTGTTTTCCGACGCATCCGAAGTCGAAGCGCACTCTTCAGTGACCAGCGCGCGCGCCTCGCGCTTCACGTCCTCCTCTTCCATCGATCGCCTCACGCGGTTGAGGAACGCGTGTTGCTTGATCAACCCGTACGAGAAGCTCACAGTGACGAGAAATAGTGTCGTTGCGTTTCACCTCTGCGACTTTTCTGGAGAAAGCGCCCGGCGACGTTTGTTTGCGAGCAAAGCAACAGCGACTTCACGAGCATCCTTGGCCACTTGGACGCGCCCATCTTCGTCGTCGCGAACTGGAGCCGCCGTCGCGCCTGCTGCGCGCGCAAGCGCCTCCGATCGCGGAGACGACTTCGTAGAGCCGTTACGTGCCGTCGACCCGGTCGGCGACGCGCTCAGGCGCGCGCGAGGGCCCGTCATGCGCGGCAGAATCTGCTCGAAAGATTAACGCCCATCGAGCTCCAACGATCGTCTTCCGTCAACACCCACGCGCTGAATTCAAATTTAAACGGTCGGATCTCGCGAGAAACGGATAGATGATGTCACTCCGCGCCGCCCGGGCGCGCGCGCGACGCGGAGTGACGAGCGACGGCGCGAGAAAACGCGCTTGTTAATTAAATTAATTCAGGTTTTTTCGATACATTCCTTTTTCGGTACCTTGTTTCGTCACGGATAAATTTATATATCGCACCTTCAGAGGGATTTTGACTAATCTCCGGGTAGGTTGTGCACACCTTTTGTTGAGGCATGACGTCATGACCCGTCATGTCATGTATGAGTAAACAGTATGGCGGGGGCACTCCCATTGGTGTTTTACCTTGTAACACCTTCGCAACACGCGAGCGATTGGTCGTCTAAAGTTTGCGTCGCGCCGCTCGATTTCACTCGTGTTTGTCACGCATCAAGTTTTTCACGAATTTTCACAAGGTGAAAACACCCGGCAGCAGATGGGGTGTGATGATCTGATATTGCTAAAATGCGCAATGTATTGTGATATTTGACAGTTCATGACTCGCTGAGCTCGAGAGACTCCTCTGAAGGTGCGATATATAAATTTCTCCCAACCAGCCTATAGTCGAGCTCCATCGAGTGGATTTTGTAAACGGAGAGGCGAATGTTCACTACAATACGTGATGGTGACCCGCGGAACCATACTTGTATCATTGACAATACGGTACTTGTGGATGTTTTACTCATCGATAAAAATGTGATCCATGGTGAGATTAGACACGTCCGAATCGAGGCGAAGAAAAAGCCAAGAAACGCTCCAGAAACGGCTGCACTCGAGCGTAGTTACCCTGCGACGCACCATACATGGATCCCCTATCCCCCGCAATCACGTTCTTTGACAAAGAAGGCAAGGGTAGAACAAGCTATATTGGTAGCCTAGTGCCTGAGAAATTGTTCTACCCAACGCCTGGTCTCTGGTTCACTAATCAAGGCAGTGAGGTGAGTTGAACGTTCCTGTCGAGCTCTGGTGTTCAAGTCACTTTAGGTGTTGGACAGATTAACAGAGGAGTATGAAAAAAATCCGTATCCAACAGAAACGGAGCTCGACGCGCTTGCACGAGAATTGAACGCGCCCGATTCTCAGAAGGTACGGAAGACAGGTGCAACACTCCGCTTGCTGATTATGTGCAGATCGTTTCTTTCTTCCAAAATATGCGAATAAGATCGCAGCTTTCTTCGCAGTGATCCTACATATGATTCAACTAGAACGACGAATCACGCTGTTTCCTTGCGTCGACTGTTCGAGTAGCCTCCGTTTAAACACATGAAGTTGGACTAGGTGAAAAGTTTTCACGTGGACTACACGCTTCTTGTACGTTTATGTAATGGCACTCAGTGATACTCGCACTATATCGTTTACACATTTATCAGTAACAATTGAGCTACGAGGTTGGAATAAATGACTATAAGCTCCCACCTGATATCGTTAGCAGCACAACAGCGCATAGCGTCACGCTATACTTGGCGAGTGTTGATAAGTAGGAGGCCATTACATGTTGTTAAGCATTACGTCTTGAACGTCTTTAAGGAGTGCTTTTATGACTCCTCTATCGGGCAAACCGTGCGCCAAGCCGTATATGGGGGCCTTCCCTCCGGGCACTGTCTTCAGGGTCTGTGATAAGCGCACTGCTGATCTCAGGTCAGTTATCAACTCATCGATGGCTGATAGATTGGCAGGCGTGATACAAAAATGCAGCGCTTTAGGATTTTGAAGCACTGCCAGTCTCCAGCCCTTTGATGTCAATATATCGTTTAGTACATATATATTGCTACCCGTCGAAGTGTGCCAAGCCACGATCATTGTTATGTGCGTTCCGATCAGTTCCAAGCCTTCAGTAGCAGCTATCGCTTCGCGAAGCTTCTTGGCACCAGCAAATATATCGTGTGCTGCTTTAGAATACCCTTCGTAACCCATATGGAGCATTGCAGCCCAAGTTTGTGCAATGAGACCTCCCGAACGAGAACCGGCTGGTGTTGGGGAAATGTATAGCCCTCCAGACCAGTCTGCCACTGACGTATACTGAAACTGGCGCATTATTGCTGTCGAATAAAGAATTACAGACGATCCTTTCTGCGCGTAACCATATTTATGTGTGTCGACACTCATGGACGTGACACCCGGAAGTGAGAAGTCAAACTTTGGTACACGACTTTCATGCTCAACATCGCTTAAAAAAGGCAGCACGAAGCCACCTAAGCACGCATCAACATGCAGGCAACAACCATGCTGTAATGCGATGTTTGAAAGATCATCTACAGGATCTATGGTTCCATGCGGATACGTTGGTGCCGACGCGTATACTAGTACTGTTTGGCGACGTAATGCCTTTTTGACTGCCAAAATATTCATCCTTCCATTTTCATCCATCGGTACGCGCCGAATCTTTATTTTGAAATACTCTGCCGCTTTGTACACGGCTGCATGTGCGGAAAGGGACACGATCCTGCGCAAAACAAGTCACACTCACATTAATATGTCGCTTGATGAAAACGTACATTTCGGGGTTTGTTATCCCCTTTGTGTGACAGATGAAATCTCGCGAGGCTCGTATCGCAGTGAGAATACTCTCTGTCCCGCCCGACGTTACCGTTCCACAAATTTCTATTCGGGAATCGCTTGATAATAACCTGCTAGTCATATGCACTATTTCCAATTCCATGCGACCCACGCTGGGGAAAGCGTCGCTATGGAGTGGGTTTGTGTGAGCAAAATCGCAATAAACGGTATTGCAAAGATCACGATGCCTCGTATCGGAAGCATAGATCGTACCTGTCAGCTTTGACGCATAGAATAACTGCTTATAGTCACCATTCTTAAGACGTGCAGCAGTTTTGAGGATGTCCTCAACTGACAGACCACTTGTCGGCAACTCGCAAATTTTCTGCTCTTTCGCGCCCGACTTCAGACTAACCTCCAGCTCTAATAGGATCTGCCTTTTTGAGCGCTCAACTATCCTTCTCACGCCAGGGAGACTGCGGAGAAATGTGAAAGCCAGCTCAGGCCGCACTACGGCGTGTAGCATGGTGCAAGCCGTCCTAAGCACATTGAGAATTGTTAAGCAGAGCAGCGCGGCGTGGATAAATAGTATGTTCAAATATCCCTGGTTGCGCAATGGAGAGAGCGAAGACAGGCAGAGCCACCCACATGCGCTAACTGTTGAAGTAGGAGTCAGACCGGTTGGCTTCGAGGGTAAAGCTACTTACGGTGCACTAGGCTAGCGCGAGCTAAAAGCGCTATCATTTGCTGTGTACGCCACAATTTTCACAGGAATGCCCTCAGCGCAACTTCTTCGGGATCTCCTTGATGGAGGGTCGACCCATGTAAAGTACAGACAGTCGCAGACTGATAAACTGATGCGACCTGAGACAGGTCCCAGTGAGGCTGAAAAAGAGACTGCTAAATTGCTACCGTAGATCCGGCAATAGAGGGTGAAAAAATGATACACCTGATTTCGTCGGGTCGTCGACGCGCGTCTACTTGATAGTTTGCAAAGATGAATGTCGCGTTCGAAAGATCTAAACGTCCTCTCGCGGAATCCCGACGTTCGACGTATTTCGTGCGCGCGTTCGTCCGCTATGCTTCGTCAAAGTTCAATTTTTGTCCTTGAAAAATGATACACTGAAAATAAAAAACGAAAAACGAAAAACGGTCGATCGAACGGGCGAGGATGAATCGGGAAGTCTCATTTACCCTACGCTTTTAAAGAGACCCCATTTGCCCTACGAAGAGTCTCATTTTCCCTACGACATCGTAGGGTAAATGAGACTTTCCGCGGCGGAAGAGTCTCATTTACACTACGCGTGTTGCGTCGACGACGGCAAGGTGAAGAGCGCATCGTCGACGCTCGCACAGCGACGGAGAGCACTCGAACCATGATGACGCGAACATCATCCACGCGATCGGACGGTGTCGCCGACGATTTCGCCGCGGAGTCGTCGGAACAGTCGAGTCCCCTCGCTGATCTCACGAATGCCATCTCTCAAACGACTCGCGTTATTGGTACGCGAACGTGAAGGATCCATTACACGTGTACTATGATGAACTTGAATTGGACACATCTATTTGGTGCTTAAGCGGCTAGTTGTCCTATCACATTCTGAACTTCCATATGTGCTTCTACTTAGCGCGCCGCTTTGTCAATATGACATTCATGACACGTTCTCCTGTGACGCGAAAAACGTGAGTAACTCGCTATGGTCTTCGCCGACGCCAACCGGATGTACACCTTTTTAGGCTCACATTCCAGACAACCCCGTTTTACCCGCTTTTACCCCACTTATTCCCTGAGTCATAACTCGTCAATCGACTTCCGTGATCGGGCAGGAGGCAGAGCTGCGCGCAGAAACTACTATGCCGTCGTCGTGCTGGTGCACTGATCGATGCGAAACTTTGTTGAATGGTGCATGGCATTGTTTTACGCCTACAGACCTAATTTCAGAGCAATGCGCTACGCCGTGTCGACACGGCGTGCGTTTTTATGAACAGTCTCATTTACACTACTCTTTAAAAACGTAGGGAAAATGAGACTCACCCTGGAAAGACCGACGCGGGGTGCTAGGGTAAGAACAGTGACACATTTTACTTATCACGGCTGTGTTTCCTCGACGCCGGTGCCGAAATGTCGTACTATCAGTAACGTGATTCGTATCAGGTAATTATACCCGTCAATATCAGAAAATGATAGGCTTTACGTACACTCAATATTGAATCACGATGCGAATCACGACATCGTGATTCAAACCAGCATCACGACCCATAGATCGTGATTTAGCCAACCTAGCTCTGGCCTAAATCAAGCCTAGCAAATCTATTGTCCAGTATGGGAATTGAACGCGAGTTTTATATTGCCTCAAGAGTGGTCGACCAACAATTTCACAAACACGGACCCCTCGGCACCATTGTTACCATATGCCTCCCCGTTCAGTAATTGTATAGTTTTTTCAAGCAAGTTGCTGCTCGCACTTGCGATGCCCTCGTGAAAGTTCATCCTGAGGAGCTGCAGACTTGTCAGAGCACTCAATCGAAGGCTTGTTGAGGGATCGACTCGGTTCAAAAATCGCGCCCGGCAACTAGCTTCTGCATAGTTCTTTGGATGGAAAAGCTGCGTCAGTCGAAGATGATTCATGAATATTGTACAATCCATGAAAATGTCATTAAGCTGATCACTGGTTTCACCAATGACCTGTTCGTATGTGCTGGACAACGTGCTGGACAACGAGGATAAATTTGACATCTCGCTGAGAAGCGTGAATAGCGAAGCCAGGTAATTTGCGGGCATCCCCGACCATTTGAAATTTTTCAGCTGAGAGCGAAGGAAGCATATCAGACCGTACTTTGTATCCTCATTCAAGAACTCGTAACGAATTGGCCTGCTCGCAAACCGTATTCTTTCGTCTTGATTCCAATTTTGCAGCTCAGTTAACAGCTGTGCTATACAAGCGAGAAGCTCGACTAGAGGCACACACTCAGAAAAAAGCTTGCTTTGCTCAAGTTCAAGCCATTCACATCTTATCCAAGTAACGAAATCAGTAGACAAAATGTTTGCTATGGTTGCCACATAGTCTGCGGAGATGGTTCTTTGTTCATTACGGGCATGGTTGAGCACTTTGGAGTATGAAGAACCCACAAAGTGAGAACAAAGGCGCGCAAAACAACTCAGCCTGATGGAATACTCGACACTCAATCCCATTTGTTGTCTGCCCCGTTTCAGGTCTTCCCACGCTATAAGAAGGAACTGATTCACCGCCGCACTGTGGAGACTTTCAGAAAAGTCGCTCAACCAAGTTGGTGACAGTGCACTGCCTCCACGCGCACGTACAGGGCGCGATCCTGATGATTCTTTTCGCATTCCTCGTATAATCTTTTCGGATACGACGTATTGACTCCGTCTGACGTAGACCGCACTAAATCTGGAAAGTTGTTCCTTTGAAACACCGAACTTTTGTCTGTCTGGGCGAGTCGCGCGGGCGTGACCAGGGTGTTGATCAGAGACGGGTCTCATTCTGTACCAAGCACTGTTACCCTTGTCCGCGTTCAGTATCAGCTCAAATATCTCAACCAGGATGGGTATTTCTGCCTTGAACGGCGACAATCTTACGTCCTGAAGGATCGTGGCGAGTACTTGCAAAAACTTGCACTCAGACAAAATTTTACACGTTTCATCAACAGAATCCAAGTTTGTCGCTTCGAAACCAGTGGATGAAGTTGAGACGAGCAGTAAATTTCGAATGAATGTGAGCACAAGCTGAAGCATCTTCGCTTCTACATCCGTTGCCACTAGCCTCCGTGTTTCAATTGTTTGGAGCGCTTGTGAAACGAGGTGCATGATTTTTGGAAAGATGACGGGATTGTCTAGCAAAGCCCGAGCGGATAGGTTTAACGCTCTCACTTGCTCGAGAAAACTAGAACTGTCTTTTTCGGGTGGAAGTGTATGGAAGACCAGCAGTTTCAACACTAGAACGCAAACATTTACGTCGTCCTCTGACAGTAAAAGAGGAATTAGATCCTTAGCTAAAACATTCCAAGCTGTCAACTGCAGGAAGACGCGACGCTCATTATTATCTTTTTGAAGAAAGCGAATGATATCCTGAAGTGACACCTCACAGTCGGTGTCTTTTCTGTACCGTGAGCCCGCAGCCCGTGCGCCGATCGTAGAGACCAAACTCAGCAGGTGAGACTCACTGTACTGGGACATGCGTCCGTGAATCGAACGAGAACGGAAAGAAGAAACCGGAGAAAGGCGCCAAAACGTATCGCAAGGGAACGAAGCGTTATCACTTTAGTACTCGCGGTATCTCGCCCCGCCCGAAGAGGCACAAACGCGCAACACTCTACCCGCTTAAGAGCGAAAAATTCAAATTTATCGTCAGCTCAAGCACAGAATAGGCCTGCTGCTAGGTTGGGTAAATCACGATGTATGGGTCGTGATGGTGATTTCAAATCACGATGTCGTGATTTAGATCGTGATTTCATATTGAGTGTATGTAAAGCCTATCATTTTTTCTGATATTGAAAGTGACAGGCGTCAAGTGACTGATAATACGACATTTCGTCACCGGTTTCGAGGAAATACAGTGATGATAAGTACATTGCGTCACTGTTCGAACCCTAGCACCCCACGTCGAAACGGTTCGTGCGAGCTCGAAAGGTTAAATCACCTTCTATGGGTGGTGAAGGTGATTCAAATCACCTTGTTTCGGGTGGTGATTTAGAAGGTGATTCAGATTTTACCCAACCTAGGCCTGCTGCACCTGGTACACGCTGGTACCGTACCAGCGTACCGGTGTACTCTGTTAGGATTATTGCAGGCTAAATACGGTTATATAGCCTTCCCGAGTCCTGAGCGCACAGAACGCGCTACGACGCGATCACCACGGGACCTTGAGCGTATTATTAGGCTGAAAGGGAGATTGCTAAAATTCTATAATTTTGGGGCCATTTTTTAGCTTGCTTGAAAAAGTGAAAGGGAGATTGCTAAAATAAGAACAGAAGACTATCGGCGCTCGACGATGGACGCGCGCGAGAAACGGCGCGCTCGCTCGCTTGATGGAAGCCGCGGACCATGCGCGTCTAGCGACGTCCAGGGTTTGGCGTGGAACATCGCGGTGTGCACGAGGTGATGGGTTGAAGTTCATATGATTAAACAGTATGCATGTACGCGGGTGGTTGGCCTAGGCATTTAAGACTGACCCCACAGCTTTTTTGAGGCGGGTTAGGGTTTAGCTAGGGTTTAGTGTCGGCGATGTCCGCGAGTGCGGACAGAGGCACGTGGTCGTGCACATCGTCTCCCGTCGCGTCGGACTGCGATTCGAATGCGTCCGGCGCTTCGGCGCGCTCCGCACTCGGCGTTTGCATGGCGACGAATGCCGGTTCGGCTCGCGGTCCAGCGGATCTCCTTTTCACCCGCTATTTTCTAAAATTGACTCGTCGTCGCGACGAGTCACGAGCCCCTTTTTCTCTAAAAATTATAGAATTATAGAGATTGCCAATCTCTATAATTGAATTTTAGAGTCGGAAAATCTCCAAAACTCTAAAAAATTCTCTAAAATTTGCCAAAATTTTAGAGTTTTAGCAATCTCCCTTTCAGCCTTACATACTCTGTCTTTTTGTATGAGCATTTTGTATGAGCAAACAGTGTTGTACCAGTCGATTTTGGGACGTACCAGGAAATTCCTGGTTCATTTTAGAGCCCGTCGTGGCGGTAATCCCGATTTATGACTCGTCAACGAGGCGGCTCCGGCGCGTGAAAACGACCAAGAGCGCGAAAAACGAGACGAGCGAGGCGCGCGCGAACGCGGGGGTGCGACCGGGGTTTAGCAGCGCGGGTTCGAAATCATCTCTTGGTCATTTAGGCATAACTCTGGGTATAAAGTTATCGAACCCTCTGCTCTTAGTCCCAATGACCATAACTCTGTCATTAAGTCGGAGTTATGGTCAAAGTTATGAACGGTATACTGACGCTATCGAAACTCGTTTATGGTGCGCGTCGTACTCACACAGTGTATCGATCTTTAGCGCGGCGGTCAAGGCGAATCGCATCGTCATGTACCATGTAGCCAATTTTTTCGCTCTCGGGCACCTCCAAGATGTCTTTAAAATGTCGCCCAATCGCAGTTTGCTCAGGTTCACTTGACGCTGTTTTCGTCCAAAGAGCAATACGGTGTTGCTTTTGTCGAACGCTGACAACAGCTCCACAGATTTCCGTCGATTCGCTGAACTGTTCTCCAATCATACACAGGAGTAGATTCAACCAGCACTCATCAAGCTCGCCCCCATCCTTCTGTTTCGGAACGTAATATGTCCACTTACCCCCTTTCGCGCACGTCTCATCCTCCCACTTCGGCTGAATCCCTTCTTTGAAAAGATGGAAATCCGTTCCCATTATCAATTTTGAAGGCGTCAGTATGTTATTGTACAGACACCAGAAATCTTCTACCGTGTTGAACGTGTACACACTGCGGAGTGTCTGTCCCCAAGTCGTCTGCTTCTGGCGCCTGCGGTCCGCTGTAATTGAAGTTTCTTTACGATTAACGTTCCCAACTCACCCGTTTGGATTATCGAACCATAGTGTCCACGTGTTCTCAAGAGCGTGCTTCATTATTTATTTGTCTGAAACCCTCGCTCGTGCTTTCGGTATTACGTTTGCAACGGGACTGCTGAGCGAGTAGGGTGAACTTTGACGCGTGGTCTGGCCGGGTCCCCCTTCTCTTTAAATGGTGAGCTCGATTCACAACACTCGGCGTCTACGGCACTCCCAACACCGACGTACTCCCAACAACGCGTCGCCGACGAGCGCTCGTTCTGGGCGGCGGTATTTTCTATAGGTATAGGTAGAGAGGTGATTTCCAGAAACACGGTTTCCATAGTCGAAAATTCAAGCTATTAGGTCGACTAACAGTAACGTTCATAACCAAAGTTATCGGCGAGTTATCGAAAAAATGGGGGTAACAGTACCAAAATTAGCATAAAGTTATTGAAATCACGTGATTTTGACGATAACTTCGGGGAAAGTTATCGTCAAAATTAAGGTTTGTCAATAACTTTTGGCGAGTCAGCTCTTGACTTAATGAGGAGGGGGTCAAAGTTATGGAAAAGTTATCGAAATTAACTGTTACCTACCCCCTTGACGACTTGACGATAACTCGCGTAATTTGCCCAAATGTCCGTTCATTTTAATCACACAAAGTCCGACGCGATGGTTCACGATTCACGACTCGTGAGCGCGACGAAGTTATCGAAAAGTTATGAAAATTGACTGTTAGTCGTTTGCGCATAACTCGGGGTATAAAGTTATCAGAACCCGTTACTGTTAGTCCCAATGACGATAACTCTGTCATTTAGTCCGAGTTATGGTCAAAGTTAGCAACGGGACTGTTAGTCGGCTTAAGGCTGAAAAAGAGATTGCTAATTTGGTTTTGCAACTTTTTTGGAAAACTTTTTATATCGCCCCTTCAGAGGAGTCCCTCCGAGACTGACGAGTCATGAACTGTCAAATATCACAATACATTGCGCATTTTAGAAGTATCAGATCATTACACCCCATAAACCCGCGAATCAAGACAGCTGCTGCACTTCGAGGCGCGTCGCATTATGTCCTCAGCCATGCCTACCATCCCCGCCCTCGCGCACGAACTCGACGACCGTCGATGCGTCACGTCCACGACCGAGCGCGCGATGTGTCGCGTCGAGACGGACGATGAGACGAGCGAACGACGTCGCGTCTGTCGTCGAGAGCGAATCGTTCGAAGAAAGTGCCCGGGCGAGGCTGAGGAAGAGCTCGAGCGCACGTCCGAAGTTGTCTCGGACCTCCCTAACACTGCAAGTGCCGGCTGGTCGACGAGTTCGTCGTCGTCGTGGACGTTGTCGTCCACGAGTTCTTTCGACAACGCGAGCGGGACGGGGGAGAGCGACTTCTTAGCTGGAGCGCTGCGTCGAGCCTTCACAGGCGCGATCGGGGAGTTGGCGGACACGGCGGCGCGTGGGATCTTTATCGATGCACTCGGCATGGTGGCGAGGGAGTTTTCCAAGGAGCTCGCGCAAGCGGCCGACGCGCTCGAAACAACGAACACGGCGAGCGAGGGAAGAGAAGACGAACAGCCCCTGAAGACTGCTGAACGCGGGCAATCGTGACGCGACAACGAGACGACTGATTAAGTCGCTCGTTGTAAACGAATAATTCATTACGAATGAACGAGATCCACGTTAAGGTCGCTGAGCGTCGCGCGGTTGGCCTCACAAGGTGCCTCTCGCGTTGTCACCGCACTCGTGATGCCCACGCGTCCGATCGAAAAGGTCCCGCGTATCCCACCAGGGAGCACTGCAGCGAGTGCGGGCTGTGTGAAACCGAACACGTCGCGCGTGTGCGGGGCGCGTGCGAGTTCCTGGTCGAAGGCGTGTCGCGTGCGTCGAGACTCTCGAGTCCGTAGTGCACGGTCGGGCTCGCAAGGTATCGCCCGACGACGAGGACCGGTTGGGTGTGGTGGATGGGACGTTCTACGCCGTGACGAAGCAATCGGTGGACGGGTCGCAGTGGACGGGGTTGGTCACGAGCGTGGCGAAGAGAATGTTAGAGAGCAGGATGTTCGAGGGTGTGATTTGCGTCACGAGCGATCCCGATGGACACCGCATACGATTTTTGCGATGTTGGTTGAGGAGATCTTGAGCCGCGAGGGGTGAAACCGAGCCTGTCGGCGAATCTCTCGGTGCTGAGCGAGGCGAATCCTCCTCTTACCCATGCTTCGATTACGTGAACAGTATGTTGTCGTAGAATCCATGGGATCCGAGTATGGCCCAACAAAGCTCATGAACAAGCAACCTCAGTACAGCACCGTGAGAAAGTCTCGCGACGAGAGATGATCGATCTCGTTCGATACGACATGGACGTCTTGCCGTCGACTTACTACAGCGACCGCCGTCCGTTCGTCATGCAAACAGTCGTCGCCGACGATGACACCGAATTCGGGCTCGGTCCAGAAAAGCCCGCACCGCGTTTTGTCCATAAGCTTGTCGTGTGGCTTCTCGCCAAGATCGGCCCCAAGGGAAAGGAGTTCGGGATATACAGTCTCGAGTATTACACTATTCGGAATTCTCTTTGCGTCAACCGAGTCTGCGGAGTCGAGCGCGTGAGCGAGCACATCCCAGAGTAAGCGCGTCGTTCGCGTGAATGACGCCAACGGTGAAGTCTCCGTTCAGCTCAACATTGGGAAACCATATTTATTCGCTTTGCTATTCGGCGTTCAACCTTGCCCTCTACTAGTCTATGTTCTTTGCATAGCCCGTATGATCAAAGACCAACTCACTTATGTGTTTGGCGCGACCCTTCGTGCTGTCTTGCTTTTGCAAGATAGCAATTGGTATGAAAACGACAAACCTTTTCGGAATTGCTATTGAAAGTTTCAATCAAGCTTCTGAAGCGGTACTTTTCTTTGGGTTTCCATCTACGGCATACACAACGTTGAATCTCGTGGCTTCGTCGATTAAGATCAACGTGGCTGAAAGGTCAGTTGCCTGACAATTTGCTGAACCCATGCGTGGTCCAAAACATACATCGCGGTGGATCAACTCTAATGACACCGTGGTTCGTTTCGTATCTAGGGGTTCCTTCAGCTCTATTGATATCCTATCGACATCGATTCCAGTGATCTTTCCTTCGTTGATGGCAATGGTCATTCTATTTTGAGACGCGTGTCCCTGCGTGTCACGAAATACAATGGTTTCCTCACTTATCAAGCAAACCTTGTTTTTGATGAATATCTTCAGCCCTGGTAATGCACCTCTTCTGGTACACAACACTACTCGTCTCATTCTTGCATATTTATCAGGCAATATCATGAAACGTCATCTTCGCTCTCACTGCCACTACGTCCCTCTCTTCGCCAACGCCGCCGCCTCTTTTTCGCTCCGCGTCCACATATCGCTCGCGGCCGCCAGTCCCAGCGCTGATAGTGTCGCCGCCTGCGCGTACAGTCGACTGTGAATGAGCTTCATGCTCGTTTTCTTCCCGGCGGAGCTCGAGAGCGATTGCACGGCGAACCCGGCGCCCAAGAAGCATGCCCAACCTCCGAATATGACCTTCAACTGAGCACCGCGCGTGAGAGAGCTCATACCGTCGAACGGGAGGTGAGAGGTCGAGGGCGGGGAGACGGATGACGACGTCGACGCATTCATGTTCGCGCGCGCGCCAGCGTATGGACGACACGTCTCTCGCGGGCGGGCGATGAGGTCCTCATCACGAGGAACTTAGGGTATGGACTGCCCAGTCACACATCGGCATGACGACAGAAGTCGCCGCCGCGGACGATGCCGAACGCCAGCGAGACCAACGATATCGACGTCGCGAACTTGGACGTCGACACCATCCTCGATGGCCTCTGCGCCGAGTTCAAGTCCAGGAACGGTCGCGACGCGACGGAGGAGGAGTTGAAGCAGTGGAAGGAGCAACTGTCCGAGGCCATCGCGGAGGGCGCGCTCGGTGATTCCGATGAGTGAGCGCGTCGATGCGCGGTATTCCTTCGACGAACGTTCGGTGTCGAGGGCGACATCGTCGACGCGAGTGGTGGGACGTAAGGGCGTGCACACGAGCTTCGACTAGTTGTCCTTTTTGAAATATAAAGCCTTCAACTCTCCTCGGCTCGTTCGGGTGTGAAGTAATGCTGCGGTGGCGTCGCCCCGGTGTAATAGTGATCGAACGTATCCTCAGGCGCTGGTTTGATAAGATGACTGCTGTCGTCGAAGCATGCGGCGTTTCTCACTGCGAGCTCACCCGCAGTGACGAATCGAAAGTCTCGGAAATCAAACCCAGGGCTCACTGCCTCTCCGATGATTGCGTACTCCGTCCCGGGCTCGAGCACGGCCGCCTTGAACGTCCCTCCCTTGACCACGAGCTGCGGCGTCTGTCCCGCCTCGACGTCTCGTCCGAGAACGCGTCGCTCGTACGTCCCGTCCGACCGCGCCAGGTGATATGTAACCGCCCCGCCCGCGTGATGATAGTGCACATGATCGCTCTCATTCAGCGCCCACCACTGATGATCGCTCTCTCTGGTGAGCATGTAATAAATGCTCGTCATGTGATTCCGTGTCCCTCGATCCTCGTCGTCTGTTCGCCGACTAGTTGCGCATCCATCTTCGCGCTTCGTCTCTCTGTCGAACGCCGTCTTCCCACGACTTGTCATCGGCGCGCACCCGGTTCGATACGTCTCGACGAAGAACCCACCCTCGGGGTGTGGGATCAACCCTAGTCGTGCGATCATCGACTCCTTCTCTCCGCGCGCGTCCTCACGCGCGGACGACGCGATCGACGCGCCCATGATTTTCGCCAACAGCTTCGTCACGCCACCGCCCCAGCCTCGTCGCTCAATCCTGTGAATCACCTCGACGAGCGCGAGCGCGGTCGACGCGCCGAGGACGACGCCGCGAGCGAAGTCCGAGACCTCCGAGCGCGACATCGCGAGTGTCGCAAGATGACGAGCGAACTGTCGGGCTTTAATTTTCACATCTGACGCCATCTCTCGACGCGTCGTGGCAGGCCGTCTCGAACGAGCGCGCGAGCCGCGAACGGTGAACGCGCACGAGGGGTGCGCGCGAAACATCGAGCGCGAGAGACACGGGCGAGGCGCGGGGGACGCGACGTGCGATTCTTTTTTCGATTTTCAAATCTTTTCGTACAGTCTCGGCGACGATCTCGCGACGACGACGACGACGACGACGCGGTAGAGTCGTGCGGCGCTCGAGTGAACGAGCGTGAACGCTCAAACGGGAGAGCGCGAGCATGGCATCGTGGCCGTCGCCGCGCGGGCGTTTGCTTGGACGCGCTCCGGAAGACTGCGGACGAGGCGCAAGCGATGAAGCGAAACCAGCTCCGGGGCTCACGCTCGATGATTTGATCCTCAGACGAGGGGAGAGTGCGAAGAAGAGCACGGTCGGGGTGAACGGCGGAGCGAACGGGGCGGATCAAGGCGAGAAGAAGTGTGGCGGCGGAGCGCTGTTTTCGCGCGCGCGAGCGCCCGTGGTGGTCACGGGATGGCAAAATTCGCACGCCACTCGAGGACGAGGGAACGATGACGAAGGGAAGGATCGTAACGATCGGTCGACCGCGTTCGGTGGCGATCGTGGCGCGTCAAACGCTGACGAGCGAAGAGCGGTGCGACGGCCGACGGATTTGGCGGATGTGCGTGTTGCGGTAGGAGTTGTTCGCGACGCCGTGGATTACAACGCCGGGTATCTTTCTCCTAACGACGTGAATGCCGATTTGGACGGCCCACCCTCGCCTGTGCGCGGGTTCACGCAGAGATTGATGTCGCTCGAGGCGTCTCCGACGCCGCGAGGAAAGCACTTGCGCAAGAGAGCGACGACGCATCGAAGCGCAGAGCCCGACGGATCGTACGCGCTCGAGCGTAGGTTCGAACGCGCGCGGGCGGATAGAAAGATGATGCGAGGGGTGGATGCGCTCGCGTTTGCGGCTCGTCGGATGCCGATGAGTCCGACGAGCAATTCAGCCGCTCCGACGTCGGCGTCTCGCTTGGGTCAAGCGTTCCGGACGCCGTGTGCCTATTGGTCGAACGGCGACGTCACGCGCGATGAACGTGAGCGCAAGGTGTCTCAAAAGCGTGGAAGAGGTCGACCTCCGAAGAATGCGAGACCCGTCACGCCTCCTTGGTCGGCGGATGACTACGAAGATTTCGACGAAGATTTCGACGGTGCAGAGGAAGCCAAGGAAACGTGGAGCAACGAGGACGAGGACGAGGACGATCGACGCATTGCAAGAGATACTAACATCGCACGAGCGTTAGAAAGAATTAGTAGGGGCGCGAATGTGGCTCCACAGCGCCCGCCGCCGAAGCAAACCTCGAGGTCAAATGGCTCACGTAAAGGCAAACCAGGTCCGAAGCCTGGCATGGCGGCAGCAAAGAAAGCAGCCATGATTGCTGCCGGAATCCCCATCCCGGTGCTACCGCCTGGGATCAAACGCGGTCGAGGTCGTCCACCGAAAAGCATGCTCATCATCCCCGATGGACCGGTGAACGCATACCTTCCGGATCACGTGATTCGTTCGGTGGCACAGGTTGACCGAGAAGTGGTCAGAAAGGTGAAGCAAGGACGTGCATCAATAGAGAGACCGGGAAAGATTTCGATGTACAAAATGTTCGACGTAGACCCACGATCGAATGTCACGGAAGAGAGAACGTCGTGCGAGGCGTGCGGGCGTGTGGACGGCGAGGATAGGATGTTGCTCTGCGACGGGTGCGATCGCGGCTATCACACGCACTGTCTCGTTCCGCGATTGGACAAGGTGCCCGAGAGCGAGTGGTTCTGCTACGAGTGCGTCACACAGAATCGCCCGAAGACGGTTGCTGCCGAGGCTTTCGAACATCGGCAAGCCGCTAAGGCCCGACAGAGTTTTGGGAGCGAAGATTCATCTGTGCGTATGAGTGACAAATTGAAACTCAACGGCGAGCCTAAGCGCAAGCCCGGACCAAAACCCGGATCGAGAACCAAGCGCATGCAGTTGGACCAAAACAACGATGAGAATGCGTTCTACGATGCTGAGCGGTTTCGCGCCGAAGAAGCGTATCGCCGACGCCGTGGAGATGACGTTCAACTGCTCTCTACGGCGAAGCGTCCCGTTGGACGACCGCGCAAAGATCCAAATGAGTGGTCCCAGGAACAGCTCGAGGCGCTCCAAAACGCTCAGGTGAACGTTGATCTCGGACTTAAAAACTTTTGGACGGTCATAGCGGGTTTAGTCCCCGGGAAGTCCGCGAAACAGTGCCGCGAGAGAGTGTACGGAGCGCTCGGCATTTCAGAAGTCGGAGACGTCAAAAACATCGACAGCAGACACGACGGCACCCCGAACTGCGAGCGCGCGCTTCGAACTCCCAAAAGTTAAACGTAAACATTCCCCGTGACCTTCGTGTGGTCACCATCACTCGCTCCAAAAGTCCCGAATTAGCGCCGTGGTAGGAGCAAACCAAATTTTCGCCAGATCCAACCGCCAGTCTTTTCTGCACGCATCCTCACAACGCGGATGAACGACCGAGCGTTCGGCGCCGCGGCTTTGGCCTTTCTCACCGTCGCCTTCGTCTATTACACCGCGTGGGCGCTCGTGACGCCGCTCATCGACGAAGGACACCCAGTTTTAAGGCTGTTCCCCAGGACAGAGCTCTCGGTCATCCTCCCGGGATACTTGGGTGGTACGCTCGTTTTGGGGTGTTTCTTCGTCGTCGGCGCGCACATGATTGCGCACAGACCTGCGCAAGTGGACTCGAAGAAGTCCAGGTGATCCTACGTGATGTGGGCGCGAGCGCTGGAGATGGCGCTCACGAAGCAGACGCAGGAGCGGATTGCTCAGGTCGGTGAAGAAGTGGAGATCGATGACGACGACGCGGCGGTGCGCGCAGATGAGATCATGCTATTGGTAAGCATCTTCGGCGAGCGAGCGCGAGGGAAGGACGTGGAGGCTGCGCGAGAGGCGATGGACGTGGGCGAGACGTACGTTGGCGCCGCTCGCTCGCTCCGATGTGAGATCGAAGTCGAGCTCGAGCGGCGAGAGGATGGATTTCGCGTGCGCGCGACGGATCAGACGAGCGAGGAGATGCTGGTGGGGGCGACGCCGTCTGTGTTTCTGGAGTTTATCTTCCCGAGGGACGGATACCCGTCTCGCGCGCCGCCATTTTTTGTGCTTCGGGCGGACTGGTTATCGAACAGCCATCTCTCGGCACTGACCGCTCATTTGGATCAGATGTGGAACACGAACGTCGCACGAGGCGGAGGGCCGATCGTGTACGAGTGGACGGAGTGGCTGCGAACCGACGCGCTGGAGGAGATGTTATTAGACTCTTGCGGAATTCTCAAGTTGTCTGCGCGAGCTTTGTGCTGGGCGGGCGAAGATTTTGAACTCGATCCTCGAGGCATCGTGATGGCTCGAGACGCCAGAGAGGCAGAGCTTTCGATTCTGCGGGCGGATGCGGTTGCGCGTAGGCGTGACTTTCTTGCGTGTGGCGATAACACGTGTGGCGTCTACGTGTCGGATGATGTATCGGGACACGATCTTCGCCGCGTGTCTGGCGCGTGCGGTCACTTCTTCTGCATTGAATGCGTCACTAGAATGGCGCACGTGCACGTACGTGAAGGAACGGTGCTTAAGCTAGTCTGTCCTGATCAAGAATGTTCGTGCTCTATAAAGCCGCACGTGTTGAAAGAGGTATTGGGTGATCAGGAATTCGAGCGTTATGAGACGCTCCTGCTCAGTAAGACGCTCGACGCCATGAATGACGTCGTTTATTGTCCACGATGCGAGTACCCGGTGATTGAAGACGAAGAAATGCGCTTGGTTCGCTGCGTCAAGTGCCTGTATGCGTTTTGTACATTATGCCGAGCAAGTTTTCATCCAGGCTCAGAGTGTTTGAATATAGAACAAAAGCTCGCCGTACTCGAGGGTAGAAAGCGTGGCAACTCGCAAATGTCGATAGAAGCACTGCGAAAGTACAGGGAGGAGATCGCGGACGCGTCAGCTGAGGCATACGTTGCTCGTGTGGGTAAATCGTGTCCGGAATGTCGGCATGCGGTTGTCAAGAACGCAGGCTGCAACAAAATTACGTGCGTGTGCGGGTGCTTCTTCTGTTGGACGTGCGGTAAAAATCTCATCGGTGATGGGTACTCTCACTACCGAAACGTGAACAGTGAACCTGGGAAGAGCGCATGTCAGCTCTTCAATCTCGACACCATCACTGCGTGGGAGAACGAAATGGCTGAGCTCAATCCGCAGCGTCAGGGCCGCGGACACATCAATCACGAGCGCGCGACGGACATCGCCACGTGCATTCGGTGTAAAGCTGCGAACGCGATGTTTGATCGAAATAACCACGTACGTTGCTGGGCGTGCAATTCATCTTTTTGTGCTGCTTGCAAAAAGATTGTGACGAAAACGTCCTATCACTATGGACCTGGAAAGTGCAAGCAGCACGGCTAGTTCTCTAATTTTAGACGATTGTATTAATGGTATCGATTGAGTTAACGAATCATGTCGCCGGCACTTCGAGAACGTGTCCGTCAGGATCCATCGTTCGCAGAGTGATGCTTATTCGGTGTGCGCGCTCAACTCGCTCGGCACCAAAGATGTCAACTTGGCGAGACGGGATAGCGTGAGTCCAACGCCAGCGTGCATCACCCTTGAAAATCAGCACATCACCATGATCAAGACGCAGCGTTAGGTTACTTTGCATATTCGCATTTGGTTCGACTGGTGCAAAATCCATTGCGACTGTGGAGCACAAAGAAATCGACGCAATGAGATCGCCAAACGCTCTCAGATCAACGTGCGGCGTCAGTCCACCAGGCGGTGTGTACTGATTGATGATGCACTGAGAGAAGTTAAACAAAGGCCGTTCATCGTCCATGACAAAGCCGACTTCGACGGCGATTTGGTACAGTCTCTGGCCGACAACCACGAGCCAACTCGGGAGCGGTGAAAATTGCATCGCTTGCTCCTTCTTCAGCCAGCCCTCGTTCTCGAGTAGATCATGTACGCACGCCAATTCTGCCTTGGAGAACGCGCTTTTCACGTGCAAAAGTCCGTCAGGTTCATCGTACATCACGTGAGACCGCGTCTCGTCAACTTTGGGCACTCCTTGCCCGAGTGGTCACTCGGTGAGCATGGCTATCAACTGCTCGAGCGCTTGCCGAGTAGGCTCGTTAGACTCGGCGTCTGGACCCGTGGTAAATTGCATGTTGGACAATGCCTTTGCAACGTGTGCCTTGGCGCTACGAAACTGGTCCACAGCCTTTGGATTCTTGGTAAAGTCCACGCACTGAGCAATGAGAAGGAGAAGCGTTGCCGCAGCCTCTCTCACGTTTACGTCTTCCGAGCGTACGCACTCCGACGCGCTCTTGATGGCACCGTGCTCGACTGCATCTGACATGTTTTCCTCGCTCTGTACGAACGCGTGACGTCCCAGGTGAAGTGCCTTGGCCCGTATGCGATCGTTCAGCGTCGGCATCGAGATGAACTGAGTACACACCTCGACGCCGCCAGCCGCCTCGAATGCCTTCGCCGCCCCGACACAATCGCGAATCAAACAGCTCAGCGCCCACAGCGACGCACCTCGCAAACCGTCGTCGTTATCGATCCGCACGACGTCCAAAAGCGCCTCCACCGCTCCCGCGTTTGCCGCGCGCGCCTGTGCTTCTGGATGGTTCTGTGTCACCGTCGCCAGCGCCCTCGCCGCTAACTTCCTAATCTCCCCCCTGCCTGCTCTCAACATAGCGGTGAGCGCCTCCGCCCCACCCGCTGACAGCATGTTCCCCGCGTTCTCCGTCTGCTCGCACCGATCGATCAAATCCTCCAACGCCACTGCAGCCTCTTCGTCCGTGCCGCCGTCCCGCGTGCTCTCAACGCTCTCCAGAATCATAACCGCGTCGCTCTTCCCACCCGCGTTCGACGCCGCCACCGCATTATAGAAGAACTTCATGTCATCATTCGTGAGCTCTCGTCGCGGCATCGCGTCGGCGTCGAACCCCTGTTGCTGCGCCAGCGACCTGTTGAGAAAGTCAGTTCTTTGTCTTCGTCGCGTCTTCTTCATCGCCTCGAGCGCTCTCGTCGACTCACCACTTCAGGAGGGCGGTCCAATCCACATTGGCGTCGTTGTTCCCGCCATCGCTTGTCATCGTTGGTCGCGATCGCGTCGCGCGTCGAGGTGTCCCGAAGGGAAGAACGACACGTCAGTTTTCGGCGCGTCATGACGACGACGTGCGCCTCGTTCGCGAGCACAAGCGCTCGCGCGACGGCACGTTCGACGATACAGACAAAGGGTACGCGCTCGGGTGTCTGGAGGCGTCGATGCGCGACGCACGGGACGAACGCGAGGACGAACGCCATTCGTTTCCGTGCGCTGGACACGCGGTCCGAGCGCTCGAGTGCGCTGGTGCGCGCGCGCGCGTCGGTCGACGACGACGCGAAGCCGAGCGAGTACGGGTTGGATCACTTGACCGGTGAGCCGCTCGAAGAGAAGGGACAGATGACGGCCATCATCACGGGGGTGGTCTCCGTGGCACTCGCGCTCGGGTACCTGGCGCTCGTGCAGGTGTTCGACTCGAGGGATATGCTGCCGCCGCCTCCGGAGGCGCTGGGTGATGGGAGCGCGGTGATGGAGAATGGGCGCTAAGGATAGATTTGTTTACGCGAAATAATACTGTAACTTCACAACGGCTACGCGCTGACGAAATCTACTCTAGTTGCGCGACGGCGGGAGGATTTCAACCTTGCAGTTTTCCTTCAACCACTTGAACGCGAGCTTGGCCTCGAGAGTCTCTTGCGCCTGGACGTAGAGTTGATTCTCGTTGTACTCGGTACCGAACTCTTCGAATTCCGACTTGGCTTTCTCGACTTCGGCGTGGAGCTCTTCGCCGGTGACGGAGAGGTTTTCCAACTTGATGACTTGCTCGCACGCGATGGTGCGTCTACACACCTTTTCGATCTCATTCTTTTGCTTCGTGAGGTACTCGTTCACCATCTTTGCCGACGCCAGGGACTCGAGCGCCTTCGGGCTCATCTTTTGCTTGACTTGCATGGCGAGAAGTTGTTCGGAGTACATGTTTCGGCCCTGTTCCTCGATAAGGGAACGTGGAATTCGCACGTCGCAAATTTCTGCCAAGGCGTCAACGCACGCCTCATCGATCGCACGCTCGAGATCAAACTTGTTCTTTGCCTTGACGCTCTCGAGGATCTTTTCCTTTGCGTCGGCAATCGACGTCGATCCCGGGAAAATTTTGTCCGCTAACTTGTCATCATCCTTGGGGAACTCGCGCGCGAAGAGTTCTTTGACAGTGACGGTGAATCGTGCTTTGACGTTACGCACGTAAGCCTGCGGCCAATCACCCGGGAACGTGATTTCGAAAGACTTCTTCTCTCCAACTTCCATGCCTTCAATGTTCTCGAGCAAGCCCGGAAGCTTGATGTTTTCGTCGCCTGTGTCGAGCTGGAAGTTGTCTTGCTTCATTCCGCCGAGCGGCTCGCCATCCGTGCCGTCATCGTTCACGCGAATGGCGTCGACATCGACGACCGCGGCGTCACCGATGACCAATCCACGATCAACACACACGCGAAGGGTCGACAAATCCTTGAGCGCGTTCTTGTAAAAGACCTCCGCATCCTTCTCTGCGGTGTTGTCGTCACCCAGACTCTGCACCTTGACGCTCAGGGCCTTGTAGTCCCCGGTGAACGAAATCATCGGTTCCAACTCCACCAGTACCTCGTACTTCAAGTCTTCGCTCGGGCGCGAGTGCATGCCGCCGAACGCTTCGAACATGTCCAAGAAGTGCGTTGTGATTCGTTCGCTATCCTGCAGCGCGTTCGCCGACACGAGCTCCATCGCCTCTGGCAACGAGTTCTGCAGTGCCTCCTCCACGCACGCACTCTTGAACTCCTTCTTCCCCACGTGATTGATCAACAGCTGCATCGGAATTTTGTTTTTCGCCTTCTCACCCTTCTTCGACGCGTTGAAACCGGGAACGGTCACTGTGTCGTTGAATCCGTTCACCACGGCGTCGTAGCACTTTTGCAACAAAGCCTCCGGGACGCGCACGCTCAGCTTCACCGACCCTTGTTCAGGAAGGTCCTCGCGCTCGACGATCACCCCCGACGGCGTCGTCACCGGCGCCGTCGTCGCGCTCGCTCGCGTCCGCGTCGCTCGTCGAGTCACGCTCCGCGCTAGCGACGCGTGAAGTTTCTTATGAGAAGCCCTGACGGAGGTCAACTCTCGGGTGGAGGCTGAAATCATCGTCGACGTGCTCATGTTCGAACGAACCGTCTTGTGATTCGGACGATGCGTCGATTGCTCGAACGGTGGCGGCGAAGCCTCAGTTTTTGAGCGCAAACGAGCGCAAACGTTCGCGTATGACGCGAGCGCCGACGAGTCGGTGGAAACGCTCGCTTCGTGGCCCCCCTTCAGGATCGGGTGTGTTCTAGGTTGGGTAAAATCACGATCACGATCTAAATCACGACCCGAAACTTCGTGATTTGAATCACGATCACGACCCATAGATCGTGATTTAACCTTTCAAGCTTGCACGAACCGTTTCGACGCGGGGTGCTAGGGTTAGAACAGTGACACAATGTACTTATCATCGCTGTATTGCCTCGACATCGGTGACGAAATGTCGTATTATCAGTCACTTGACGCCTGTCACTGTCAATATCAGAAAAATGATAGGCTTTACATACACTCAATATGAAATCACGATCTAAATCACGACATCGTGATTTGAAATCACCATCACGACCCATACATACATCGTGATTTACCCAACCTATAGGTTAAAATTAAATATGCGACTTCGGTCTCCTTAAGTATACATTCTCGTCGTTTCGTCGCCTTTTGATCTTTAGGCCTCTTTTCATTTGTGTGCGATGCCTCTTTTAAAGGTCTATCCAACGCACTTGAGTTTGCTCGATTCGGTGCTGTACTCGCAAAGTTACGTCCGTTCGGGTGTCACGGTTAGACTTTTGACCCGAACCTAGTTATACTTAACGACGACGCGGCGGCACGTGGCGACGCGCGCGGGGCTCGGAAATGGGGTAAACGCAGTGAACGCGATGGTGGACCTACGCGTTCGTCCGGATCAAGCGTCGGATGGCGATTCTGACGACGACGGTGACAACGACGAGTGCGGTTGTTCGCGAGAGATTTCACGTTTCGCGCGCGATTCTCGTTGCCCTTGGTTCCGATCGTTCGTCCGCGAGTGCGTCGCGACGCGGCGGTTTTACGATCTGAAGACTGACGAACGTTGAGTTCACGTAGTCTCGCTGCGCTTGCGCTCGTGGGGCTCGCTGGGAATGACATCCAACGGCCACGAGTCGCACCGGGAAGGGAGCTCGTGGGGCAGAAGAGAAAAAGTAGACGGCGGCGCAGTGAATTGCGTCGCTTAAGCGCTTCAAGGAAGTTCTACGTGACGAAAAACGCTGGGTTGGCGAGGACAGATCCCAACCATTGGTCTCTCAAGAAGGTGGCGAAGAAGTTCAAGTTGAAGTCGCCGAACCCGGTAGTCGTTCTGAGTAAGCATCTCAAGGCGCGCGGCGTGAATTCGCGCCCAGTGGCAAATGGTGGCCAAGATAACCCCTTGCGGCCGATTTTACACGAGATTTTGACATCACACACAAAGATGATGACAGTGGTGACTGATTTCGTGAAAGATAACGCGGTCAAGATCAGATCGGCCGACGTTGCATTCCTTCCCGGTGGCGTCACGAGCGACGCCGCGCTGGCGAGAGCCGAACTCGGGGTCAACAACGCCAAACGCGCGGTCGAGGACGCTGAAAGGAAGCGGCAAGACAAAAAACGCAAGGAGGAAGACCTCTTGTGTCAAGCGATTCAAGATGCGCCCGCAATATTGGCGCGAATCGAGTCTCTCAACGATCTGCGCGCATGTACTAGAGCGCAGCTCATCACGCTCCATCGCAGCGTTTTGAGACTTCATCCAAGGTGGCAGCTGAAAAAAGCTGAACTGATCGCCGCCCTGACGCTGGAAATATCAAAAGAGATTGAAAGTAGGAATCAGCACGCGGAGCCTCACGCCGAATTGCCCGGCGTACCGGTGTCAGTGCCCGTCGACATGATGGACGCAGAAATGCTCAAAATCACCCACATCGAGCCGATGACGGAGACTCAAACGTCACTCGAGCCGACGCCGATGGGTTCGAAAGATGGAGTGTAATACTAGTGTTGTAATCATTCTTTGATTCTTTGAAATCGGCGAAGCGTCGGCGAGTTGTGAGAAATTATACTTAAGGAAACCTCCCCATACATTCTCATACGATTCGGATCCGCGGGCTGGGAGTCGCGACGTCGACGTCCGTTCGTCCCCAAACTCAGCGTGTCACGAGTTCGCTAGCTTTCGCGTCGCCTCACAAAAAATTGTGCGGATCGCGCGACGAGCGACGCCGTGACGCGTCGCGGCGACACACTTAAGTATATATCGGTCGCATATTTAATTTTAACCTATACGTACGGTACGTACCAGCCGTAATGATTAAACATTTTAGCCATTTTCGCCATTTTACCAGCTACCTAGTCACTCATAGATCGACTCATAGATCGTGTTTGCAAGAAATCGACGACACGCTCAAGTGCGTCGCATTTGCGACGCCACTTGTTGGACTCGACCACTCAGGGACGAGGCTTGTAAAGACGAACAACTCATCAGCAAGTTATCGCACGCGAAAGGCTTTCCCTCTCGCGCACCTCGAGGCCTCGAACCTCAGTCTTTTGGCATTCATTCGATAGTGTTGCGAGGTAGCTCGCCGGGCGCCAGGCCCGTGATTTGCATTCCTGAGTTGCGAAAACACTGGGTAGTGAAACTAAATATAGCGATTGGCTGAGGGTAGCTAGATCAGGGGGGATAGCTGGATCAAAGGGTAGCTGGATCAGTCTGAAATACACAACCAGTCATGACTCGGCCTTACTAGAGACGAAGTTATTCCTAAACTTGGAAAGCATCGAGCGGTGCGTTGACCCCAGTGAAGATTCTGTGGCGAACGGCTCGGTGCGTCTTGCGGTGGCGAGTTGCACGGCGTTTCGACCAACGTCGGGGTACGGTTTGCCGCAATACGGACAGCTCGGGCACGGGACGGATCGCGAGTACAACACGACCGCGGGCTCGAGTAAGATTGTGTACGGGCAGCGCGTATGACATGAATTGCCCCCTTCTCGCGCGCCTGACAAGGGTGCTTTCACGGTTCCATCGCAGTGGAACTGACTCGACGCGAGTCGTGTGTACGCTCAGGTCACGGGCGCGGACTCGAGGCGTTTATGAATGTCTCTCGCGCGCGACGAGTATCGCCATACTATTTCTGACGCTGTCCGTATCGTGTGGTACTTTTTCGAAATCGTGGACGCGCGTCATCCCTCGCGCGCGAAGGGAGTTACGTCGGAACTTTCTCAGAGACTGGAAACGAACTCTCGAAGACGGTCGAGACGGAGAAAATTTCCACACGTCCAAAGAGTTTGAGGTACGTATCATTTCGTTGCGTCGGGGGCGCGAGCGAAGTCTCGAGTCCGCGCGTTCGCTCGACGAGCAAGGGATAACGTGGTCGTATCACGACGCCGTCGATGGCCTGGACGAACTTGACGTGAAGTCGTTGAACAAGTACGCGGGTCGAAAGAAGCGCACGCGAGTCGACGCGACGCGTCACATCCCTCGGTCGACGCTCGTACAACGCGCGTACGATGACACGAAGCGTCCATCGCATGCGATGAGACAATCATTACACGAACGATTGCGTTTTGGATGCTACTTATCGCACGTGTCGTTATGGCGTCGCGTGATTCGCGCGGAAGCGCCGCTCGCGATTGTTCTCGAAGACGACGCCGTGGTGTCGTCGAAATTCGCGCGCGCGTTAGTGTCGAGACTTGACAAACTTCCGATCGACTGGGACGTTTTATTCTTGAATGGGTGTTTCAAAAAGTTTGGACCTGCGCTCGCCGACGGGATCCGGCAATCTCGTGGAGGGCTGTGCACGTACTCGTACGTCATCTCGGCGAAAGGCGCGTTCACGCTGATGCGACGAGCTACTTTACGTAGTGAGAAACCCATCGATCACGTCTTGGACGGAGAAATACTCGCCGGGAGATTACTCGCGTTTCACGCCGATCCACCTCTCGCGCGAACCGTACCGAAAACGAGCACGCTCGCCTACTGAGGCTGAAGAAGAGATTGCTGGATTCTCTTTTCCTTCGATTTTGATGGGCGCGATGTTACCGTGTCTGCAGTGTTGATACGTGCACGACAATTGCGTTTCATATTGTTTAGTGCCCTCCAGCCAAGATAGCCCATCGCGCTTCGCGTGCGCCACTCCCACATTGGAGTCACAAAATACAGGCACGAGTGGCTCGGAGTAGCTCTCGTAGCCGATCTCATGTAAGAAGTGTATGCAGAACAGAGTTTCGGCAACTGCAAGCCACATGGCGCGGAACTCCGCTTCACCGGTCGAGGTGGCTACAACTGGCTGAAGCTTCGACTTCCAAAAGATTGCGGTCCCGAATGCCATTATTATGACTGCAGAGGTTGATTTTCGTCCGAGATTGTCTTCGTCAAGTTGATTCAGAGGTTCCCCGGCATAGTCGGAGTCTACAAACGTGAATAGACGCGGGACCCCGTGCGGTGTACATACGTCTCCTCGAAATACGAGCTCTAGATCCTCGTGTTCGACCAGGTATTTCAGTATGCGGGCCATGCCTTTGACGTGTTTCTCGGACGCGCAGTGCATCAATCTAGAAGCTTTTGATAAAGCGTAGGATATGTCGAATCTCGTGTACGTAGCTACGTACATCGCTGAACCGACCATGGACTGATAAGTGCGCAGAGTTTCTACTAACCTCCGTTTCAAAAGTGATTATACTGAGCTTTGTTATACGCGTTGTCGCATCATATCGAGGCATGCTGTACATCGCTGGAAAGCTGTTGAAATTTCCCGTACGTCGATGCAAGTTCCCCGGTGTGGATTTGCGTAAAATCGCCGATGCGTGATGATTTCCATTTTGTGTCAATTCCAAAATGATACCGTCCCTTATGATAACGTGGCCATTTTTATCACGAACGACGCCCGACGAATGCGCGCGCGAAAATTAGCGAAGGTGACACGGCTAGGGTTGTAAACATACTTTTTGAGTGTCGTCTTTCTATCGCGAGGCGCTACAGACGCGTTTAAAGCGCCCGTGCGCCGTGTGAGCGGCTAGTGCATTAAGTGGCCACAGTTGGAAAAAAAGATTGAGGATTTCTCTTCTGGAGTTCTGCTCGCCCCGCGGCGACGCGGGCACGTCGTTCCTTCCAACGTTACCGTTTCTTCGCTGTACCTGACCGTTTCCGCGCGGGCCGCTTCTTCTCGCGTGCCGGATCGCACCGATCGCAACCGTTGCGGCTGTATCTGCAACGAGCACAACCACCAGTTTGTTTCGATGTTTTTTGAATTTTCTCAGACTCTGTCGGCTTTTGGACGCGTCGACGCTTCGTCGACGGCGGTTTGGGGTCGAGTGCGTCTCCTAACGCTCCCTCAACGTCTTCTGTTGTTTTCTTCCGTCGTTTCCGTGCTACCGCGCCGTCGGCGGTCGCAGGTAAAATCGTCCCAAAACCCACTGGGCAACCACTGTTTTCTTGAATGATTTCCTTCAGTCGTTCGCGCGTGTGTCGGGCCAGATCCGTCTTTTTCACCAACGGGGCGAGGTTGCGAGCGCGGACGATGTGACGTAGCTCCGGTGTGGACAGTTTCCTGTGCGCGCCGTGCGCGGCGAGCTCAGCGACGACGTGATTCCAAAGTTCAAGTGCAGCCTCATTCTCGAGAGCTTCTTTAGCTACTCGTCCTTCGCGTTTCTTCACCCGCGAACGGTCCTTTTCAGCCCTCTCGACCTCGATCTCTGCGAGTATGACGAGGTTTTCACGTGTGTTTGCAACTGGACCTCTCGTCGCCACGGCTTGTAGGGGATTCTTACGCTTTCGCTTGGGCCTCATCTTCATCGCGTGCAGCATGATGCTCAACTGCTCCTTAGACCAAGTCTGACTTAGCTCCGTCGCAGCTCGCGAAACGACTTCGTCCATGGACTTGGCCTCGGCCGCGATCTTCAACAGCCTAGCAGTCGCGAGATCCAGGTCGTGATCGCCGGCAGGGAGGAATAGCTCGGGGACGAACTCACCGCTCTGCAAGCCTTTCTTCTGGTACTTGGCGAGCTCAGCGAGTCGCGCTTGACGCTCAGGAGTCGACGCATCGCGTGCGACCTCTTGAGCGCGTGCGCGCGCCTGATCTCGCGCTCTAAGCTTCCTCAACGGCTCGTAATTGAAAGGACTGAGGCCGACCTCAGACCAACTTCTAGCAATTAGTTCAGGAGTGAATGCATGCAAGAAAGCGCGGTGCGCTGCGGCGAAGAAACGTGTCGAATCAAGTGATGATTTATAATCAAAACCGCTGAGCAGACTGATTCGACTATGACTTACATCCGTTTGCCGCAGTTCATCCTGAAATTTCCTCTTCATTTCGCTGAAGTGCACGACGTCCTCGCCTTGCATAAGATGTATGCAGTGTGGTACCAAGAACAGAATGGAGATGTTCAGGTCCCTCGCGTGCTTCAAGACGTCGAATGTCATGTGGCTTGGATTTCCATCGAGGAACAAGAATAACTCGTGCTCGTCACCAGCGTCCCGATAACACGCCGCAATGTAATCCAACGCTTCGCACATATTCACCTTGTCCATCGAGCCCTTTGCATTCACCATCCACTTGGGTTCGCGCTTCACTCCATTCAGCGTTGTCCACCCATCCTCACAAGTTGCCATATCCGACGGCTCCGGTGTGAGTTCGTGCCTGACCCACACTAAGAGTCTCTCGCCCGCCATGTTACGCCCGCAAAGGGCTGATGCGCGGTAATTATTTGCGGGCATCGGCGACGAAAAGCACAAGTCATCGTCGTTGCTGAGAATCTTCTTCCTCATAACCTTGCCATCAACTTGCACGCAAGTTTCATGTACTCGAAGGCGTCCGTCTGGGCCGACAAGCTGTCGCGCGCGACGCGGCCGACCCACTGAGCGATTACAGCCGCGTTCTTCACAGAGCTAGAGGCGAGGTACGGGCCGCACGATTTGGAATTGTTCGCGACGGAGAACCGGGCACATGTATGACGATTCGCGCACCAAGGACGGGCGCCGGGGGCGGAGGCGGAGCCGTTCGTGATCGATTGGATAAGATGCAACGCGCTGATAGTGGCGCCGTGGGACGAGATACCGCGGGTTGCGCTGCGAGAGGCCAAATCGAACGCAACGGTGGTGACACCCTATTGGCCAGCTCAACTGTGGTACGTCACTATGACGGAGATCGCGACGAGTGTGTGGAAGTATCCAGCCGGAAGCGGCCTCGTGACGGCTGGGCGGCCCGGGGAGGACAGGTTAGCGCCGTGGCCAGTCGTGGTATTCCGCGTTACCGCCGCGTGAAGACGAGCAAAACGCTTAACATGGAACCGGGCAGAGTGGTAGGGCTGAGTGACGAGTTGGTGTATCTGTTGGAGAGGCCGTTGGCAGCGACAACCCTCGAGAGGTATGAACGGGTGTACCGAAGCTACACTGAGTTCTAAAATAGCTTTGTAATAGCTTGACGGCGGTCGAGTATGAAGCGTCATAACACGCGTCGAGTACAAGAACGAACTCCCATGAACCAGTAGTTTTGAGGAAGAGTTGTGGAAGCGACTTTTCAAGAGCTGGAGCTGCGTTATAAACTGATGTAACCACTGTGATATCCGCCGCCGACGCACTGTTTTTAAAGTCAAGTGCTACGAAAGGTTTCTGTCGTCCAGCGGCGGTCAAGTCAGGGTTGTTGACGATTTGATACTTATACTCGGGCTCCTGCGCTAGCACCATTCTACCGTAACATCGCTGAACGACGTCTTTTGCGTTCTGTTGCTCGACTCGCACGTATGAACCACAGAAGCGATGCTCAGAGTATTGCCTTGCTTTCACCGCTCGACAGAACAACAGCGTGAGTAACGAAAGTGCAACAATGGGTTTCCTATCTACCAATTGACACCGTGCCTTGGGCTTCTGCATGGCAAATGGTTCGGTGTGCTGCATATCAACTCGTGTCGCTCACGTGTCTTAGCAGAGAGTGTCTCTCTGAGAGTGCGTCTCTGTTAATGCCAACTGTTGTAAGCTTAAGGTCCCGTGGTGATCGCGTCGTAGCGCGTTCTGTGCGTAAAGATCTGTAGTTTCATTAAAAGTCTAAGCTCGTTGTCTCGAACGGATTTAGGGTTGAGGGTTTCATCTTCCGAGGTACGATTTTTTGCTCTACGTGGACGTCGACGTCGTCGTGATGAACCCCGAGACGGGTTTGGAGGACATCGTCGATGTCGACTACGATCAAGTCCTCGCCGCGGATTCAAACGGGGTGCACTGCGGGGTGTGGTTGGTGCGAAACACGCCTTGGACGCTGTGGTTTCTGGATGAACTCTGGGCGCGCGAGCGCGTCTTCGAGGACGAACGGCGTGCGTTGCATCACCTCTACGCGTCGACGCGCGGGCGCGAGGTCACTAAGGGACCAATCTATCCCAACGCGAACACCGTTCGGGCGAGGACGAAGATCGTGCACGCGTGCGCGTTCGACTCGCAGCCGTGGTTTTACGAAACGGGCGATTTCATCGTGCATCTCGCGGGACTCAAAGGGACGGTCAAGTGTGCCCTGTTCACGCGCTACTACGCGCGCGCGCGGGCGTCGATGCGCGCCAAGGGGATGGTCGTCGCCGCCGACGTCGATGTGCCCCCGCCGAGCGCGTGGACGTGTCTCACGAAGAACGCGTGAGTGGACGATGAGCGCTTCGACGGGACGGTGAAAATAGATACAGGTCGCGCGGGCTCGATTCCACGACGCTGTTGAGTATGTACATCGACGCGTGCGTACGCGAACGACGTCTCGCGCGTCGTCTCGCGGTCGTGGCATCGAGCCGCCGCGAGATGGACGCGGATCGGTGGCGACGACGACGCGACGCGCCGGTTATAGCGAACTGGCGCGTCCCCGACGCATCGTCATCCGCGTTCTGAGCATTCGTATGAATACTACAGAGACGCTCGCATTGTGTGAGCGACGAACGCTGACGTCCGAGTCGCGCGCACGTCATCCCACGCACCGACGTGTTCTTGTACGCAGTCGCGTCGTCGCGGCGAGACGCGAGACGCCCGCGTTGTGCTCGAGGTTCCTTCGGCGTGCGACAGATTGCGTGACGCGATGACGATGCGGTTGATAATACGCACAAGTACAGCGGTATGCTTCGCGCTAACGCGCGTGCGATCACCACATAAACGGCGCGAACGACGGCTAGGTATAGTGATCCTTCGCGTAT